CTCATTGCAGGGGGTGGCTTCACAAATATCTCCATCCTCAGTGATGAGAAGAAGTCCAGCACATTAGCACAAAAGATAAATGGGTGAATCCCTTCTCCCTTGAAGGCAGAGATGAGGAAACCCATCTTCTGAAGGTTGAGTGTCTTTGAAATTCCCTTCCTGAAAAGGCTGAAGGCATTCACTAGAGTATGTGCTTGAAGTGCTCAGTGGATGATCCATTGCAGCCTTCCCCAGTGGTCGCCAGCATCACAGATGCCAGTCTTCAGCTAATTCGATTCATCCACATGATATCAAGAAATGGTTGGAGGCACTGGATATTGCAACAGCGCTAGGCCTTGACAACATTCTAGCAATAGTACTAAAGACTTATGTTCCAGCATGTGCCACACCCCTAGCCAAGCTGTTCCAGTACAGCCTCAACACTGGCGACTACTTGGAAATCTGGAAAATTGCCCAGGTATGCTCTGAACTCGAAAAAATCCAACCAGCCAAATACCATCCCATCAGTCTACTCTCAATCATTAAAGTGATGGAAGCTGGCATCAGCGGTGCTATCAAGCAGCACTAGCTGCTTAACAATAATCTGCTCACTGACTCCCAGGTTTGGGTTCAACCTGGGCCACTCAGATCCCGACCTCAGTACAGTCTTGGTTCAAACATGGACAAAATAGTTGAATACCAGAGGTGATGCGAGAGTTGTTGCCCTTAACATCAAGGCCACATTTGACCAAGTGTGGCATCAAAGCATCCTAGCAAACTAGTTTCAATGGGAATCAGCGGGGGGGGAGAATCTCCCCACTGGTTTGAGTCATACCTGATACATAGGAAGATGGGTGTGTTTGTTGCAGGTCAATCACCTCAGCTTCAGGATACCTTTACAGGAGTTCCTCAGGGTAGTGTCCTAGGCTCAACCATCTTCAGCTGCTTCATCAATGGCCTTCCATCCATCGTATGATCAGAAGTGGGAATATTTGCTGATGATTGCACAATGTTCAACATCACATAAATGCTAGGCAACTATTATTTGCATTGAGACAGAATCTAACCATTGTCCTTTTACATTCAATGATGTCACCCTCACTGAATCCCCCACTATCAACATCCTGGGGGCTACCATTGACCAGAAACTCAACTGGACTTGCCATATAAATACAATAGCTATGAGAGCAAGTCAGAGGCTAGGGATCCTGCAGCAAGTAACTCATCTCTTGACTCCCCAAAACCTGTCCATCTATAAGGCACAAATCAGGAACATGATGGAATACTTTCCACTTGCCTGGATGAGTGAATCTCCGGCTCCAACAACACTCAGACGTTTGACATAATCCAGGGCAAAACAGCTTACTTGATTGGCACCCAACCACAAACATCCACTCTCTCCAAGACTGACAGCCTATTGAAATGCGTACCAAGATTTACTGAAGAAATTCACCAAGGCTCATTAGACCGACCATTTCAAACTGAAAGGAAAATCAGATCTGCCTCATCTTGCTATACTCCATTGAGTCTAATCCCAGAGTCCACAACCCCTCCTCAAATGACAAGCCCTTCAACCCAGGGATCATTCTTTAAACTTCCTCTGAACCCTCTCCAGTACATCTTTAGAGGGCCAAAAACTGCTAACAATATTTCAAATGCGGTCTGACCAGACCCTTATGTAGCCTTGGTAGCACATTTCTTCTCTTGTTTTCTGGCTGTCTTGAAATGAATGCCAACACTGCATTTGCCTTCCTAACTGCCGACTGAACCTGCATGTTAACCTTAATAGAATCCTGAAATAGGACCACCTTTGCACTTCAGATTTCCAAATCCTTTCCTCATTCAGAAAATAATCTATGCCTTTATTCTTCATACCGAAATCTATAACCTCACGCTATGCCATCTGCTACTTCTTTGCCCATTCTCTGAGCCTGTTCAAGTCTTCGGCAGCCTCTCTGCTTCCTCAACACTACCTGTCCCTCCACCTATCTTTGTGTCATCTCCAACCTAGCGCAATACCCTCAGTTCCTTTGTCCAGATCATTAATGTACATTGTGAATAGCTATGGTCCCAACATTAACCCTTCTGAACTCCACTAGTCACAGCTGCCAGCCTGAAAAAAACCCCTTTATCCCAACTCTCTGCATTCTGCCAGTCAGCCAATTCTCTATCCCTGCCAGTACCTTGCCCCTAACACCATTAGCTCTTATCTTATTTGTGGATGTGGGCAATGCATTTATTGCCCATCCCTAATTGCCCAGAGGACAGTCAACTTCATCGTATGTAGGGCAGACCTGATCAGCTAAGGATAGCAGATTTCCTTCCCTATAGGACAATAGTGAACCAATGGATCTTTATGACAAACAACAATGGTTACACAGCCACCATGAGGCTGACTTTTTTATTCTAAACAAATTTTTATTGAATTCAAATTTCACCATTTGTCAAATGGAGATTTGAACCCATATTGCCAGGACATTAGGCTGGGACTCTGGATTACTAGTCCAGTGACATTATCACTATGCTACCACATTTCCCCCTTAAATAATTTAACTGTTCTGTCGTCAAATAACCTGTAAACTCACAACAATGATTCTTACTGTCTACACAGTATGGAGCTGGAGGAACACAGCAGGTCAGGCAGCATCAGAGGAGCAGGAAATTCGATGTTTCGGGTTTACACACTTCATTAGGACTGGGGAGGGGGAAGGTAGCTTGGTAATAAATGGGGGGCTGGTGGGGCTGGGGTAGGTAGGTGGGATGGTGATAGGTTGGTGCAGGTAGGGGGTAGTGGAGATTGGTCAGTGGGAAGGGTGGTGCAGATAGGTGAAAGAAGATTGACACTGCATGGTTTGACTGCCTCTGCAGGAGTCTTCCCTGTATACAGAATATTTATGATTTACCGTGATAAGCCTTACAGTCCCAATTCTATATAGGCACACATCAAAATGACTCCCAGTATGTCTCATTTTTTCATGTTACACAGAAACACAATCAGCACCAACCTCTTGTTTGGAGAAGAAAACTAGAAATCCCAAGAAACCTGAATGTTTTGTTAAAAAGAAAAGCTGTTGTTTTGAGGCTATTCCCTCAAGTTTGGCAAGGTTACCTGCTGTTCTTTGTGACTGACAGAGCAAAATGATGCATCATACTGAAACATGTTAAGATTTTTTTAAAATCAACTATTTCCTTAAACATTATTAAAAGAATAATATTTTAGTTTAAGGTTTTTATAGCAAATTGCATTCTCCTTTTAAAAGAAACAGAAAGGTGCTTAATATGCCAATGGTGCTGGACATTTTCAGTAGTTGCTAAAAACCTCACATCTATTGTGGGGGTAAATCAGCTATTCCTGGAAGCCCAGTCAAGTTTTTTTTTGGCACAGGCACTCTGCACAGAAAAATGCCTATTAACAGGCAAGTTTCCCACTAGAAAACCGAGGCTTCTGCAACAAAGGCTTTTGGGGTAAAGCCTGCCTTTTCACAAGTCTTGTTGATTTGAGTCAAGTAATAAGACAGAATTGTGGAGAAGTGCAACGTTTTCATAATTTTGTACTCGTACATGGAGACAATTTGGACTTAATTTAAAGTACATACAAACATAATTACTTTATTAAAATCATTTGCTGTTCATGACATAAAACAACATGTTGTGTGTAGCCTTGTCTCAATAAAGAAACGGTTTATCCATTGCAAGACTTGAAACGTATATATAAAGTGCAGAAGACAATGAATACAATTATCCAGTTCATGTCAAAAGGAAATGCTTTGTGTCAGTCTCCTTGGTTACAGTGTTGTATAACCTACATATTGGACAGTGTGTCAGCTCTGGCATGTAAGGTGCAAGGGATCAGCTTACAGGAGCAACTGCTACAATTGAACTCAAGAAGTTATCAATAATGCCACGAAATTTTATAACACTTGTTTCATTTTTAAAGTATAAAATGTCTGCCAGCTCCATTCTATCTGTTTTACTGTCAAGTTTTATAATCCACAGGGTGTCTTTGATCTACTCTAAGATCTTATTGCCATGCATTCAAATAAAAGTTTTTGTAACTGTTAAATTGTGCCTCATCTGTGCACAGTGGGTGTGAGCTCCTGACGATTTAGCAGCTAAGTGCACTACATAGTATGGTACTAAGCTACACAAGTGCTCGACTGTGGGCATGTAAACAACAGTCGCATGCTTAAAAACAGTTGTCTAAGAACAGTCTTGAGCTTTATTAGTTATTCTGATGCTTTTGATTTCATTCTGTTTATTCGGTGCAATGTGCTTTTGAAATTGTTCTCTCAAATTATTATAATTCTGATTTTTAAAAATTCATTCACAGGAAGGTGGGGTGTCACTGGCCAGTACAACATTTATTTCCTAACCCTAAATTGTCAAGAGGGCAATTAAGTGTCAACCACATTGCTGTGGGTCTGGAGTCACATGTAGGCCAGACTAGGTAAGGATGGCAGTTTTTACCCCATTAGTGAACCAGATGGGTTTTTCTGACAGTTGACAATGGTTTCATTAGACTGCCAATTCCAGATATTTACGTAACTCAAATTCCACCATTGAACCCAAGTCCCCAGGACATTACCAGGGTCACTGCATTAATAATCTAGCAATAATACCACGAGGCCATCACCTCCCCATAAAGATAATTCAGCAGATCCCAACTTGTTTACATGAATATCAATAGTTAAATAGAGGCCTGCCTTTAGAAGAAAAGCAAGAATCAATATCGGATGGAGGCGAGAGAGAGAGAATGTTGATGCTGGGACAGTGATTGTGGAGACAGTTCACAATTAACAAAAATCTGTTGCTGATGGAGAGGCAGTGCAAGAAATGTCAAATCAGCTCTTTGGTGAATTTATTATGTGACACACAACTTAATTTTACTCAGTCGCTAGAGGATTTAAAATTCCCTTTGGTATAAAAATGGACACCCACTGATGGGAGATTAGAACTCCAGGGGAGAATTGCTAGTAATACCACAAAACTGACACATCTCCCATATATATAAATCCAGCACGTGGTCAGTAACACATTTTATTTTGACATGTTTCAAAAATGTTCTGTTCTGCATTACGTCACAGAAAACTGCTCCATCCGAGATGTGCAAAATTATTGAACTGGATACATTGTTTTCTTTATTAAAACATTGATCATACCTCATTGGCTGTAAAGCATTTTGAGTCATGTGCTGGTCATGAAAACCTCTATATAAAAAGGAAACCTTCAGTATTACAACAGCAGGAACATGTTTGCCTTTTTTCAAATACAAACAACTTCGACAATGTAGTGGTTAAATGCACCACATGGTCTGCTAAGTGTGGCATTGTGGTGACTTGACTAGCAATCAACAGGCTGGGAGTTTAAGCCCTGCCCTATGAAGTTAAATTAAATAATGTTGGGCAAGGACAAAATAGGCTGCTTGACATAATCTCACCCAAACTACTGGACAGACATATGTGACCATGTTAGTTAAGGCTGTAGCCACTCCTGCCAGTTCTGGATGAAGGCGATCTTTACAGAGGACAAGCCGCATCATAGATGTGTTCTCACAATTTCTCAGCACAAAAGATGACATCCATGAACGTCCATGAAGGTCCATCAACAGCAACGAAAAAAGTACACCACCCAATGCTGAACTTCTGTTTGGTGCTTTCTAATCCACGTTACCAAAATTCTCTTGGACATTGTGCATTACAGTTTATTCAAATGTTTATACCAGGGCGTCCCAAAATAGGGATACGACCCTAAATGGGGCTGCAAGCCAAAATGTTGCTTTGCAAGCTTAGAGGCAGCAATGGCCAACCCTGATGCCATTACGCTCTCTGTTCTCACCAAAGGACTGCAAAAATTATCAGGCTTTAGAATTGAATCGCAGTGGGAAAATGTCTGGTCAGCATTGGCCTAAAAGCAGGTCAATCATTTCTACTTTTGGGACATTACTCACCCTGAAATACAGGAGCATCAGAGCTCACTCTGGGGGTAGAGCAATAACCCACTGTCACCAAATTACTTGCCACTCCTAGAAATCCAAGTAGACCTTTTAAAAAGAACAATCCAAAAGTCAAACTAGAAAAAAAAAGTGTTTTATACAACTGTTGAGATATTTAAATAGTTTTAGTCAATCCTGCAAATCATATATAGACAAATGCCCATCACACACAAAAATCAGAAATGCTGCACTGGTGAGAAATACAACAGATTCTATCCAGTACATTTCAGGGAAAATATGAAACGTTAAATCCTTGATTTCTTAAATAAAATTAGATAAATGTGGCAGCCTAGTTTGATAACTATTCTGCTGGCAAAGTTTGACAATCGGTGGCAAACATATTTTCTTCACGCCTAAGGACTTGATGCACTGATTATTAGTATAACTTTGAAGACACTGGAGACACATCCTCACAGAGGAAAACGCATATATAACTGGAGCAGACATGCAACCTTGTGTTTATGCATTGAAACAAGTAGAGTATAACACAGCACAATCCCCTCAACTCTTACTGATAATTGCGCAGCTGGAAGTGTCTAACTGACTTGGACATACCTGCCAGTACTACAGCATCTTAGCAGTGCAATGTGATAACTATCAAACAATCTTTAATCTGCATTTGAGTCAATGAAAGCAGGGCCTCACAGCGGCAGCAGTCTATTTCATTTCCGTTGCTTCAAATTTAGAGCTTAAATCCGGAGTGAACAGCCACAATCCCTGATGTCATGTTGCTGTATTCCACCCTGTAAAACCCTGCATCTTCAATCATTCCTTTGAACTCCTCCTGGAAGTAAAAAGATGCAAATGAAAGCAACCCAACTGGTGGAACTCCCCAGGCAAACATTACATGTTATATCAAAATGAGAGATGGTCTGAATCACAGGCTAGGTTCTTTCTCAAGAGAAAAAAAAACTTCACTACCCTCAAACCAAGAAACTCTTGTACAGCTCCCGGCTGGCAACTGTAAAGGAAACGTAAAATGATTAAAAAAAGGGGTTCGCTGTAACTCAGTGGCAGCATTCTCACAGAATCAGAAGGTCTCATCGTCAAATCCCATTTGGATTGGAGAACAAATTCCAAACTGGTACTGTGGTTTAGGACTGAGGGTGTGCTGTGCTATCAAAAGATTTCAGACCTTAAGAACATAGGAACAGAAGTAGGACATATGACCTCTCAGCTGCTGGTTCAACTATTCAGTCAGACATTGGCCGATCTGTAACTTGATTTCATATACCCACCTTGCTCATATCCATTAATAAACCCACAAAAAAAAAAATCATTCTAAACCTAAACGATCTAATTTAAAGCAACAATCAACCCAACACCAACTGCAGATTGTCCCTTCACATGTCTCCCACCTGCACTCACAAGAGGTCTGACTCCTAACTTATAGGATTTGTCTCCTTGCCACAAATAAGAGAAATAATTTCTGCTCTCTCCTCCCTGTTAGTTCCCATTAATAGCTTGACAATTTTGATTAATAATTTATTCACCATCTAAATTTTAGATAATTCATCCCAGATTGCATATCTTTCTGCACTGCAAAATTTCTGCATTTGAGGTACTTAATTGATTGTAGAACTCACTTAGGATGTCTCAAGGTTGTGAAAGGCAACAGATAAATACAAGTTCTCTCTTTCTCGCTCTCTCTGATGAAAGCACTAGTTTCTAATTCAAGTACAAGAGTATGTCGATCAGGAAAACTAGGGCAATCTAAGTACCGTTATGTTTCTGCAACCGAAACAGACAAACTCATTCTTCAATTGTAGCCAATTCCCCATCTTGGGGGAAGGAAGGCAAAAAAACCATTAAAACTGCAACCTTTGCAGCCTTAAGCATAGCAATGTTCCGTCAGCCCCATTTTGTTTCGATTCAAATTTATAAACCTATCTTTGATTCAAACAAAGCATGCTGGCAAGTGCTTTTTAAAATTACCTAAATGATGTTAATATTACCTGATCAGGAAAACGTTGGATACTCTCCACCAGGTATTGGTAGGATTTCCAATCAGCAGCAATAACCTCACCCAGAACAGGTATCACTTGAAAACTGTACAAATTATACAGCCTGTGAAAAGCAACAGATATTTTGAACAATTACGATACAATTAAGTTTCAAAAGCCAAATGTGAGGGGCTCAGAAATTTTTATTCACAAATAAGGAGACTACTTCCTTCAGTGAGTAGGGGCAACTGCAGACCCAGATAGTTCAGATTTGATCCAAGCTGTGTCAATGTTATCAGCTAATGCAGATTCACAAAGTCTGGGATGGCATCAGAAAAAAAAGGTTAGAGTTCTTCAGTAGGAATATCAGGCAAAGGTAGGTTGGGCTCAAGTGTGGCAGAATCATCAAGTTCAGAGATAAAGAATGGCAACCTGATTAAAAATACAAGAGAATGAAGACGACCTATTGAACGCCATCCCAACTGGAAGCCAATTAATGGCTTCAGAAGAGGAAATGTGAAGAAATCTTGACGAAGAAAATTGGTGAAAATAAAGAGTCGGAATAGGGAAGCACAGTTTACTGATGTATCAACATATCGTACCAGATAACATACCTGTAGAATGATAAGGCATAGGTTTGCAGCCATTCATCATGCATTGCACTAACTTATGGCCATAATAAAAGGTGTAACAGAGGCAAAAGAGACAGATTTCTGATCAACTGACTGCATCACATGGTGTTAGATGGCAAGATTATTGCATCCAGAAAGCTCACTTGAAACAAGCTTAAGTTGATTTTTAAACATTATTTCATAGGATATGCTCTTCACTGGGTACAGCGACATTTATTGCCCATTTCTGATGGCCATCGAGAAAGTGGCGGTGCTGCTGTCTGCGTACTGTAGAAACACCTCCCACGACTTGTGATGTTTTGATACAACTGAGCTGCTTGCTAGGTCATTTCAGAGGGCAGATAAGATTCAATCATGTTGCTGAAAGTCTGATGTAGGCCAGACTAGGCAAGAACAGCATACTTCCTTCCCTCTAGAGAATGAGTAATTTTTAAAAACAAATAACAATGATTTCATGGTCACCATCATCAAGAGTAGCCTTTAGTTCCAGATTATAATAAATGAATTTAAACGGTGGGATTTGAATGAGTGTCAGCACAGCATTAGCCTGGACATCTGCATTACTAGTCCAGTGACACTAACTCTTGCTACTTGCTGAAGACCTCATAACAAATAAGTGGGTGAGGCAATTTCCCTAGAGGTCTCACCTACAATCGACTTACTCATGTTTTTGTCAGTTTAAAACAGGCATCTAAATTTTCATGGGTAGGGTCATACATGTAAACAGATTGACCACAGCCTCATCTGAAGGTTATTAAGAGTATTTCCAAACACTGTTTGTTTTATTTTGCTGTTATTTAGTTGATGGAAAGCTTTTGAGTTTTGACAGAGCAGCAACAGCAGTGGCACAATGGTTTTCCAGTTGAATTATCTTCAACTTGTACTTCTTGGAGGCAGAGGAAGTCCAAAGCAGGGCAGAAATTATAGGCTGCACGATGAGTGATTTGCATCCACCTAATGGTATATTCACATTTACAATATAATATACTCTGTTGGAGAAACCTGTAGCACAGGTTTCTGATTCTCAAAGGAAATAGTGGCAGTAGACTCAAATTCCATAAATTCAGTATATGAAGCACTGGCCATTCTTAAAACTGGAGATTCTCTAAAACATGCTAAACCACAGAATTCACTATGGTTACCTGGAAATTATTGGATTCTGTACTTTGCTGAATTCCAAACACAAGAATCTTCCACCTGGCTTCAAGACACGATAGGCCTCTTGTAGCACCTGGTAAGGGGAAAACATAGGCAGTGAGTGCCAGAGACTTCTGCATAGATAATCTTTTGCACCGTACAGGTAGAAAAGAAGGAATTTTTATAGAAATTTTGTGCACAGCAGATATGTTGCAGTAAAACGATTTTACGGAATATTCTAATATGGAAATAAACTTATTGGCCTTTCATCCTTTCAACTCTAAAATACGCACAGCACTTCAGTTAGAAGGAAAGTGATAGGCAGCAGCTTCTCCATCAGAATTGATCACAAATTAGTTACAATGATGCACTATATCAACTCACATGATCAATGTGAGTGACATTTCTAATTCCAAAAGCAATCGTATAAACATCAAACTTGTCGTCGTCAAATGGCAGCTCTTCTGCATTTCCTACCACCCAGGACAGACCTATGGGGGAGAGAACAAGCATGAGCACTGAATTCTCAGAATTTTACATACAGAATGTATTCCTTTGGATCAAATATTGAACAGTCAATTCTGCAAAAAAAATTAAATGAGGATTTCCATTCTGAGTGCTAGTTGGTGTTGGACATGACTCTGGGCACTAAGTGAGAACAGCATCAAGTACAATTGAAGAATACCAATTTAGGAGAGATACTGGAGAACAATTACAAGTTCAGCATGAATTAGAGATTTTATGAGCAAGCAGAGGGCAGAATATTTTTTGATGTGGGAAAAGTGAAGGTCAAATATTATGAATACATGATTAAGCATGTAAATGAAAAGCAGTTTTAAACAAAGATGTTCTCTTTTCATTACAAGCTTGCAAAAACAAAAAGTTTACATAATGAAACGTGTGTTCAATCCAACAATCTGGTAGGAACTGCAGATGCTGGAGAATCTGAGATAACAAGGTGTACAGCTGGATGAACACAGCAGGCCAAGCAGCAGAGGAGCAGGAAAACTGACATTTCAGGCCTAGAGACAACAAGGTGCAGGGCTGGATGAACACAGCAGGCCAAGCAGCATCATAGGAGCAGAGAGGCTGACGTTTCGGGCCTAGACCCTTCATCAGAAAAGGGGGAGGGGAAGGGGGTTTTGAAATAAATAGGGAGAGAGTGGGAGGCGGATAGAAGAGGGATAGAGGAGAGGATAGGTGGAGAGGAAACAAACAGGTCGAAGAGGCGGGGATAGGGCCAGGAAAGGTGAGTGTAGGTAGGGAGTTAGGAAGGGGATAGGTCAGTCCAGGGAGGACGGACAGGTCCACGGGGCGGGATGAGGTTGGTCGGTAGGAGATGGAGGTGCGGCTTGAGGTGGGAGGAGGGGATAGGTGGGAGGAAGAACAGGTTAGGGAGGCAGGGACGAGCTGGACTGGTTTTGGGATGCGGTAGGGGGAGGGGAGATTTTGAAACTTGTGAAATCCACATTGATACCATTGGGCTGCAGGGTTCCCAAGCGGAATATGAGTTGCTGTTCCTGCAACCTTCGGGTGGCATCGTTGTGGCACTGCAGGAGGCCCAGGATGGACATGTCGTCTGAGGAATGGGAGGGGGAGTTGAAATGGTTCGCGACTGGGAGGTGCAGTTGTTTGTTGCGAACCGAGCGTAAGTGTTCTGCAAAGCGGTCCCCGAGTCTCCGCTTGGTTTCCCCGATGTAGAGGAAGCCACACCGGGTACAGCGGATGCAGTATACCACACTGGCAGATGTGCAGGTGAACATCTGCTTGATGTGGAAAGTCTTCTTGGGGCCTGGGATGGGGGTGAGGGAGGAGGTATGGGGGCAGGTGTAGCACTTCCTGCGGTTGCAGGGAAAAGTGCCGGGTGTGGTGGAGCTGGAGGGGAGTGTGGAGCGGACAAGGGAGTCACGGAGAGAGTTGTCCCTCCGGAAAGCAGATAAAGGTGGGGAGGGAAAGATGTCTTTGGTGGTGGGGTCGGATTGCAGATGGCGGAAGTGTCGGAGGATGATGCGTTGGATCCGGAGGTTGGTGGGGTGGTACGTGAGGACGAGGGGGATTCTTTTTTGGTTTTTATTGCGTGGACGGGGTGTGAGGGATGAGGTGCGGGAGATGCGGGAGACACGGTTGAGGGCGTTCTCGACCACCGAGGAGGGGAAGTTACGGTCCTTGAAAAACGAGGACAACTGAGATGTACGGGAGTGGAATGCCTCATCCTGGGAGCAGATGCGGCGGAGACGAAGGAATTGGGAATAGGGGATAGCATTTTTGCAGGAAGGTGGGTGGGAGGAGGAGTATTCTAGGTAGCTGTGGGAGTCGGTGGGCTTGAAATGAATATCGGTTTCTAGGCGGTTGCCCGATATGGAGACAGAGAGGTCCAGGAAGGGGAGAGAGGTGTTAGAGATGGTCCAGGTAAACTTAAGGTTGGGGTGGAAGGTGTTAGTGAAGTGTATGAACTGTTCGAGCTCCTCGTGGGAGCACGAGGCGGCACCGATACAGTCATCAATGTAACGGAGGAAGAGGTGGGGTTTAGGGCCGGTGTAGGTACGGAAGAGGGATTGTTCCACGTAACCTACAAAGAGGCAGGCGTAGCTTGGGCCCATGCGGGTACCCATGGCTACCCCCTTTGTCTGTAGGAAGTGGGAGGAATTGAAAGAGGAGTTGTTGAGTGTGAGGACGAGTTCGGCTAAGCGGATGAGGGTGTCAGTGGAGGGGGACTGGTCGGGCCTGCGGGACAGGAAGAAGCGGAGGGCCTTAAGGCCATCTGCATGGGGAATGCAGGTGTAGAGGGACTGGACGTCCATGGTAAAGATGAGGTGTTGGGGACCGGGGAATTGGAAGTTCTGGAGGAGGTGGAGGGCGTGGGTGGTGTCACGGACATAGGTAGGGAGTTCCTGGACCAAGGGGGAGAAAATGGAGTCCAGATAGTTGGAGATCAGTTCGGTGGGGCAGGAGCAGGCGGAGACAATGGGTCAACCAGGGCATTCAGGTTTGTGGATTTTGGGAAGGAGATAGAAGCAGGCAGTGCGAGGTTGGGGAACGATGAGGTTGGAGGCCGTGGGTGGGAGGTCACCTGAGGTGATGAGGTTGTGGATGGTTTGCGAGATGATGGTTTGGTGCTCAGGGGTGGGGTCTTGATCAAGGGGGCGGTAGGAGGAGGTGTCGGAGAGTTGGCGTCTGGCCTTGGCGATGTAGAGGTCAGTGCGCCATACTACAACTGCACCTCCCTTGTCCGCGGGTTTTATGGTGAGGTTGGGATTGGAGCGGAGGGAGCGGAGGGCTGCACGTTCTGCGGGGGATTTCAGGCCTAGACCCTTCTTCAGAAAAATCTGGTCCAGACTGCTTTTCAGCTACTACAGTTTGCAATGATGTAGCACCTTTGGTGAAGAAAATTATGCCAATGCACTTCATATCAATGCCAGGCAAAAGTGAGATATTAGGAGATGATGATCAAAGCTTCGCCCAAGAGGAAGATCTATAAGGAGACACAGATGGTGGGATTAACTGATTTAGACAGTGGTGAGAACTTCCGCCCCCAAATCTGAGATTTCCTGACTTTCAGGAGCTCCTTCTCAGTCTCTCTAACTCCTTCATTAGGTGATGCAGTCACAGTATCCAACAATATCTTCTGTAGTTGTCTTGCTACATGGGGAGTTTGGGCTCAGAGGCCATTACTTGTTGCCTTGCCTAATTACCCTTGAAAAAGGTAGTAATGAGTAACCTTCTTGAACTGCGGCAATCCACACTCCTAGATAACATAACCTTTTTGTTAGTTCCAGATTTTTCTGTTCAGATTTATTCCTTCAGTCTTGTTCTACATTACCACTCAAGCCTTCCAACTCCAGATTCAATAAGAAACACCTTACTGAAGCATGGAACAATTAAAAGAGTAGTGGAATAGACTGAAAAGTGGAATCCTTTATTATAATCACTTATAAATTTGCAAGCTTTCAGTCTTTTCCAAATGCATCAACAATGGAACTGTTTGTGGAGGTTCCTATTAGCTTTACATATCACACCCAGAGCTGAGGAAATGTCCCATCTTTTAGGTAATACCTACCTTCAGTATAGTTCAACTGTTCTGCCTTTTGCCTCCCAAGTTTTAACATTTCCTTGTTGATGTCACAGATGACTGCCTTTGATCCCAAATCAGAATTGGATTTATTCTGCTGTTGATAAAATTCACTGATTTGTTGCCATGATGGGCTCTGGTTAGATTTCACTGCTTGTCGACTCTGTCTTTCATGCTGCATTCTCACATAATCCATAAATCTAAAGGCTATATCCCCTGCAGAAATACAAATCAATTTCACTTTGTAGGAAACAATGTTTTTCAAAAGAGTCATGGAAACCTAGAAAGTACCAGTCTCAATCATCAGCTTGTGCAAATGGTAATAAGGATATGACAAATCTCCCAGCATTTGCCTACTGGGATAGAATGGCGGGAAGAAGAAAGAAAAGCCAATACCAATAATTTCTTGCTACCAGTAGAGTGGATCGACTTGGGCTTTGGATGACTTGCTTCCTGACACTACCAGCTCACACGAGAAATAGCAAGGTATCAGACCAAGAATCTGCACTCCAGCAAGAGTTAGCACATTAGAAAGTGAAATTTGTTGCTTTTGATATAGTTTTTAAATGCTCAACATGTTTTATTCAGACTAGTGATCAGCCATTCTCATTAGACTGGAGAATTCAATACCAGTGTGACATTAGTGATAACAAAATGATAATTTTGTTTAATATCCAGAATACAAAAACGATTAAAAGAATGGCTACCTATAACAATAGGAATGAAACTGGTCTTGACTTCTGAAAAAAAAAAAACAAAACACTGCTAACCTCAGTCAATTTATCAACCAAAATGCAATTTAAAAAAAAGTTGGAATTAAGCGTTTATCTCAGAAACAGCCTCATGCTTCCAAGCTGTGTAAATAAACTCTGGAGCAGCAAGGTTTGATCCCCTCCTGCTCAAAACTCGAGTAGTAATGGGCTTCAAGTGACATTGTAGTAACCCTGGGCTGGAAAGGGAACATTCAGGCCTCTTGCATCTGATCAGTATCCTGTCTGGAAAACATAATGGAAAAAGTTTTGCACTTCTAAAATCGTGAAAGGGAGAAACTTGAGAGAAACAGAAAGAGTCTGGGGATTTCTAGCTTTCTTACAACTAAGTAACAGGCATGTCATCTAGAACTGCACAACAGAAGGTTTCATTATTAATAAACAATGATTCACTTGCACAAAGTACTCAAGAGATAATTGCCAAGAATTCCTAGATTATTTTATTAACCAAATGGGACTAAACATCAATAAACAAAGATTTTGAGCTGGAAATGGTGTGGTGTAGCTTTGATAGGTTGAATGCAGGCCCAAAGTGCTGTAGCTATATTTGTACTTTATTTAAAAAAAAGATATTTTGTGGAATTTTAACCTGTTTCATTACATCAGAAAAACAGTAATCAAACAAAAGTGTAAAATGTTAAAAAAGCAACAAAAATTCTTCATTAAACAAAGAATCTAAATGTACATTCCATTTTATTCACAAACATTTGTTCAATGCAATGGTTTTTGTGGGTGGGGTAAAGAGAAAGTACAATTATGGATTTGGAAGGCCACACCAACAACTGCTGCTTACATACATTTATATAGCGTCTTTAATGTAATACAATGTCCCATAGTGCTTCACAAGGGAATTGGTGAACACAATCTGGCTGAGCCACGTAAAGTGGTTGGTTTTTTGGAGCATCTTGAAAAGGAGGAAAAAGAAGGGGCAAGAGGTTCAGGGAGGCTGAGACAGTTTTGGGTTCAAACATCTAAAGACACATCTGCTAACGGTGGGACAGTTAAAATCAGGGGTGCTCAAAAGGCCAGAATAGGAGAGCTGTATATATCTTGGAGGTTTGTGGGATCAGAAAAGATTACAGCAATAAGATAGCACGGGGCAGCATGGTGGCACAGTCGTTAGCACTGTTGCCTCAAAGCGCCAGGGACTCGAGTTCAATTCTACCCTCGGGCGACTGTCTGTGCGGAGTTTACACATTCTCCCCGTGTCTGCGTGGGTTTCTGGGTGCTCCGGTTTCCTCCCACAGTCCAAAGATGTGCAGGCTAGGTGGATTGGCCATGCTAAATTGCCCGTAGTGTTCAGGGATGTGTAGATTAGGTGGGTTATAGAGGATGGGTATGGGCGGGTGCTCTGAGGATCGGGGTGGACTTGTTGGGTCGAAGGGCCTGTTTCCACACTGTAGGGATTCTATGATAGGGTGAGGCTATGAAGGGATTTAAAGCAAAGACAAGAACTTTAAAAGCAAGGCACTGCGGAGCTGAGAATATTGTAGGTCAGCAAGACTAGGACAATGGGAAAGTGGGAATTGTTGTCAATTAAGATGGGAGCAAGGGTTTTGGGTGAACTCAAGTTTGTGGAAGATGGGACGTTAGTCAGCGATGCATTGGAATACTCAAGGCAAGAGGTAAAGACACAGTTGAGGGTTTCAGCAACAGCTGAATGGCTGCACAGAGAGAATACGGTGACTTTATAGAGGTGGAATTGTGGTCCTGGTGAGGGGATGGATTTGATATCCAAGACTCAATGCTGATCCAAAGCTCAACTGATCACTGTAGTGAAAAATGTTGACTTTACCTTTCTCATTTCAAGGAATCACAGAAGTCTTATGGTGCAAAAAGAGGCCACTAAGCCCATCATGCTTGCATCTACTCTTGAAATGAGCATGATTACCGAGTGCCAGTCTCCTGGTTCTTCCACACACCCCTGCACATTATTTCTTCCCAAATAATTGTCCAATGCTGTCTTGAACCTAACCATCATCCCTTGACGTTCAATGATGTTAGCACTGAATCTCCCCTATCAACATTCTGGGGGCGGTGGGGGGTTTAGGTTACCATTGACTGAAATTCAGCTGGATTTGCTATGTAATACTGTGGCTACATGAGCAGGTCAGAGGCGAGGAAACCATTAGTGAGTAATTCACCTCCTGACTACCCAGAGTCTGAGCATATCTGCAGGGCACGAGTTAGAAGGGTGATGGAACACTTGCCTGGATGAGTGCAGATCCAATAACACAAGAAGCTTGATACCATCCAGGAAAAAGCAGCCTGCTCGAATGGCACTACATCCCCAACATCCACTCCCTCCGTCTCGGAGGCTTAGTGTGACACTGCACCTTCCAAACCCACTACCACTTCCATCTAGAAGGACAAGGGCAGCAGATACAGGGGAACATCGCCACCTGCAAGTTCCCCTCCAAGCCACTCACCATCCTGACTTGCAAATATATCACTTTTCCTTCAGTTTTGCTGGGTTAAAAATCTTGAAATTCCCTCTCTAATGGCATAGTGGGTCTACCTTCAGCACATGGACTGCAGTGTTTCAAGTAGGAGCCCACCACCATTTTTTCACAGAACTAGGAATGGACAATAGGTTCTGGCCCAGCCTGCAATGCAGATATCTCATGATATATTTTTTTAAATGCCTCGATTGAACCTGCCTCTATTACACTTCCAGGTAGCGCATTCCAGACCTTAACTACTCACGGAGTAAAAGAGATTTTTCTCATATCAATCTTGCTTCTTTTGCAAATCAATTTAAATCTATGCCCTCTCATTCTTGTTCTTTCTGCAAGTAGGTACAGTTTCTTCCCTGCCTACTCTATCCAGACCAGTCATGATTTTGGTAACATCTAAAGTTTTAGCAAAGATTTGTAGCTCGGGTTGTGGGTGAGGTTTTTGACTTGCTCGCCAAGCTGGCTTGTTTTCGTTCAGATGTTCCATCACCATGCTAGGTGACATCAGTGAGGCCTCCGATGAAGCAATGTTGTTCTACTCTGCTTGGAATTTATACTGTCTGGTCCGTTATGGTGAGTACTGTCATTTCCGGTTTTGATCTGTATGGGTTTGTATAAGAGGTCCAAATCTATATGTTTGTTGATTGCTATATGAAAACAAAATCTGAATGAAAACAAGCCAGTTTCGTAACATCTATCAGATCTCCGCATAGCATTCTCTCTAAGGAGAAAAGTCTCAATTTCTTTAGTCTATTCTGATAATGAAGTTTCTTACACCTGGAACTATCCTTATAAATTGGTTCTGCACTTCTCCAATGCATTCACACTCATCCTATAACGTACTGCCCTGAATAAGGTCTAAAAAATGTCTTATGCAAGTTCAACAACACCTCCTTACTCTTTTACTCAGTGCCCCTCTTAATACAGCAAAGGATACTATATAACAAGGTGTGGAGCTGGATGAACACAGCAGACCAGGCAGCATCAGAGGAGCAGAAAAGCTGATGTTTCGGGTCTGGACCTTTCTTCAGAAATGAGGGAGGGGAAGGGAGTTCTGAAATAAAAAGAGGTGGGGGGAGACGATGATAGAAGGTGGATAGAGGAGCAGATAGGTGGAGAGAAGATGGACAGGTCAAGGAGGCAGGGATGAAGCCAGTACAGGAGTTGGGATGGGGGTTGGTCAGTGAAGAGGGAGGGGCGGGTAGGTGGGAGGGAAGACGGACAGGTCAAGGAGGCGGGGACAAGATGGTCTTGGGATGAGGTCGGGAGTGGGAAGATTTTGAAGCTTGTAAAGTCCGTCTCTCCACCTATCTGCTCCTCTAACCACCCTCTATCATCGCCTCCCCCTCTCTCTATTTATTTCAGAGCCCCCTTCCCCTCCCCCATTTCTGAAGAAGGGTCCAGACCCAAAACGTCAGCTTTCCTGCTCCTCTGATGCTGCCTGGCCTGCTGTGTTCATCTAGCACCACACCTTGTTATCTCAGACTCCAGCACTGGCAGTTCCTATGATTTCCAAAGGATACTATATGTTTTACTTACTGCTCTCTTCACCTGTCCTGTCACCTTCAATGATCTATGAACACACACACCCAGGTCCAGCAGCTCCTGCATCCACTTTAGAACTCTACTCCCTATTTCTCCTACCAAAATGCATGACCTCACACTTCTCTGCATTGAACCTCATCTGCAACCTACCTGCCCTCTCCACCAACTTGTCTTTTTCCTTTGGAGTTCCACACAGTTTACAATTCTTGCAGGTTTCATATCAGCTGCAAATGTTGAAATATATTATCAAGATCTAGACGGCTAATATCCATCAGGAAGAGCAAGGGGTACAATATATAAATTTGGGGAATTGCACTACAAATCTTTCTTCAGCCTAAAAAAAATCATTGGCCATTAACTAATTTCCTACCACTCAGCCAATTTTGTGTCCACGTTGTTACAGTTTATTGCATCAAGTTCCATTATACACCATACGAACAGCATTAAGCTCACGGAGTCTGTTAACTCTAAAATACCTCAAATTTAACATATCAAAAACTCAAAATTTTCAGAATTAGGCAAAGCAAAGGGGATAGTGATCAGGAATGTAGGATCCACAAAATCTTTACATACCCATCATAGTCTTGGCAGCATTAGAATATGTTTGAATAATTATTGTACCTGTCCCTCCGGCCACATCAAGCAGCTTTGCTCCTGGCAGTGGGTTCATCATACGAATCAGTGCATCCTTCCATAACCTGTGAATGCCGAGGCTCATGGCGTCGTTCATTATATCATAATTTTTGGCAACATTTTCAAATACTTTGTAAACTATAACAAGAAATAAAGAATCATTCTACAATAAATATCATATGCATAAGTTTAACTAAGACGTATGTGAGTCTCTCGAAGGACCGAAAGGAAATCCTGCAATCAAAGTAGGGAAATGTCAAAGTACTTCATCCCAAACAATCATTCACTTAAAAAAAACACTTCTGCCCTCACCCCTTCTCTTCCCTCCCGCAACAGCGATAGGGTTCCCCTTATCCTCACCTACCATCCCACCAGCATCCACATCCAGAAGATCATCAGACGCCATTTCCGCCACCTCCAGCAAGATGCCACCTGTTCTGAGGGTCACCGGGCCCGAAACGTTAACTCTGTTTTCTTCTCCACAGATGCTGCCAGACCTGCTGAGCCTTTCCAGCAACTTTGTTTTTGTTCATCATTCACTAAAAGTTTGGCTTGCGTCTCAGCCAATTTTGCATAATTGCCAATAATTCCTTTAATTCTATGAGTTTGATTTTGCTAACAAGTTTATTACATGATACTTTATCAAAGTTCTTTTTGAAAAGTCCACCTATGGGCTATTGTGATGCAGTGGTAGTATCCCTAACCCTAAGCCAGGAGGCCCAGGTTCAAGTCTTATCTTCTCCAGAGCTGTGCAATAACATCTCTGAACAGGTTGATTAGAAAGTATCTACAGGTAGATAAAGCAATGAGGTTGAAAGTCCACATCCACTTCAACTGTCCCTTATTTGAGCAAGGGCATTCAAATTAGTCAGACATGAACTGCCTTTTTCCAGTTCAGGTCAGCTTTTGTTTATTAATCCACATTTGTCAAAATGACAATTACAGCTTGCATTAGTGTCTCTGGATGTTTCATTGCCATTAACGCTAGGTTAACTGGCCTTTAATTATCTACTTTAATTGTGTCCCTTTTTTGAACCGTCCGGTCATCTGACACCACTTCTGTATATACCCACAATCTTTCAATTGTTGGAGAGTAGACACTATTTCCATTCTTACCTCCCACAGCAATTAGGATGCATCCCATCCACCCTGGGTGGTTTATCTACTGAGCACTGGTAACAATTTGATACACCTATTATTGATTTTGATCTTTTCCAATTGCTCTACCCCCAGCTCTGTTATTGTAACGGTGACAGTATCCTTTTTATAAAGTGAAGTCAGATGTAAAGTACTTGTACAATATGTCAGCCATACTCTCTGGTTCCACAAGGCCATTTTCTTTTTGTACCATAATTTGCCTTGATTTTCCTTTGACTATCCTTTTACATACCTGTTTACTAAATAATAGTGTTCCCTTTTAAATGATCTAAGATATTTTCTCATACATTTGTGTTGTCCTCATTATCTTTTCAGTTTTCTTCTATGAAAAGCAAAAGGAGGAGTGATTAGGGACCAAAAGGGATTAAGGCAAGGAAGCAGATGATATGGCTGAAATACTAAGTCAGTACCTTGCATCCATCTTTCCCAAGGAAGATGATGCTAACAAAGTCAATGAAAGAGGAGGCAGTTGAGATAATTGATGACATAAAAATAGGCACAAAAAGTATTGGAAATGCTGTTGGAAAGTCATCAGGACCTGATCAGATTCTCCTGAGGATAACGATGAAGTAATGCTGGGAGCTGCAGAAGCATTGGTCATATCTTCCAACTCTCCTTAGATGCTGGAGTGCTGCCAGAGTGCTGACAAATGACAAATGTTGCATCATTTTTCAAAAAAGTTGCAAAGGACAAGTCCAGCAACTATAGGCTGATCAGTTTAACTTCAATGACAGGAAAGCTTTTAATGAAAAAAAAAATCAGGCCAAAATAATCACTTAAACAAATATGGATTAATTAAGGAGAGCTACCATGAATTTGGCAAAGGCAAATTGTTTCAACTAACTCAGTTGAGTTTGTTTATTAAATGATATATTGGAGGGGGTTGATGAGTTAAATGTGGGCTTTCAAATAGACATTTGATAAACTTCAACAAAGTTAAAACCTGTGGAAAAAAAGACTATGACAGTGCAGTTAAGTGATAGGAAACACAGTGATGAATGGTTGTAGTTCAGACTGGAGGAAGGTGTATAGCACAGAGGTCATTATTAGGGCCACTCACTCTCCATCAATCTAGGTCATTAAATGTCCAGAACACAATTTCAAAGTTTGCAGACAACTTGGAAATATTGTCAACTCTGAGGAAGATTATTATAGTTTATCAAACTGGTGGAATGGGCAGATGAAATTCAATGAAGAATGTAAAGAGGAAAGGTACCTCAGAATGTAAAGGCTAGAAAAGATTACAAAGATAGGGAAGAATAAAGTCACACAGGGACTGGAAAATGTGGATAAGAATTTTAAAATCAAGGCATTTCTTGACCAGGAGGCAATGTAAGTTATGAGTAACGGATTGATAGGTGAATGGGACATAGTAACAGTTAAGACTTGGGTAGAGTTTTGGATGACATTAGATTTATGAAGAACAGAATAGAAGAGCCAGATAAAGAGTTCATTGGAATAGTAAAATTCAGAGGTAACAAGGTCATTGAAGAGATTTTCAGCACAAGTCGAGGCAGGGGCAAAATCAGGTGACAGTATCACAATGGAAATAGGTTTAGTGAATTAAGTGATCTGAAATGCATCTTCGGGTCAATTATGATACCAAGGTGGCCAACCAAGTGTTGTAACTGCAGATAGCTGCCAAGGAAAGTGAATGAGTCAGCAGCTAGCACTAGGAATTGCAGCAGGGACAAAGACAAAAGTTTATCTTCCCAATATCTAACAGGAGAAAGTTTCTGGTCATTCAGTACTGGATGTCATATAAGTAGTCTGACAATTTAGCAACAGTGAAGGAATCGAGACCTGAAGGGCAGTACAGAGGCACAGTGGTTAGTACTGCTGCCTCTCAGTGCCAGGGACCCAGGTTTGATTCCAGCCTTGGGTGACTGTCTATATAGAGTTTGTACATTCTCCCTGCGTCTGTGTGGGTTTCTGCCAGGTGCTCCAGTTTCTTCCCACAGTCCAAAGATGTGCAGGTTGGCTGGATTGGCCATGTTAAATTGTCTATAGTGTCTAGGGACTTGTAGTGTAGGTGGATTAACAATGGTAAATGTGGGGTTACAGGAATAGGGTGGGATGCTCTTCAGAGGGTCAGTGCAAATTTGATGGGCCAGATGGCCTCTTTTCCACACTGTAGGGGATTCTATGTGAGGTAGACCTGAGAGTTACCAAGTACGTGCAAAAAGTAATGCTGTGTGCTAAGATACTCAACCAAAATCAACATTTCCCACGTGAAATCAGAAGGGACATAGCTAAGAGTGAACAGGAAGAGAACGACAGAAGTCGGGTGCAGGATTCCTAATTAACGTGCCTTTTACCAACCTGAGGTCAACTGCATGTCACCAGCGTTTAGCTCAGCGAAGTCAGCTCACTGGAGCTTTGGGGCATCCCGGTTTCTACGGCTCAGCTACTCACAGTTATGGATCCCTTACCATCCGGAAAGTTAGGGGACATCCCAGGCTCACCCAAACCTCCCAAGCCCCAATCCACACACTCGCACCTTTCTCCGCTTTTTCCGACTCAGACACGTTCTCGAAGCCAAAATGAGCTTGCTTTTCCTCGGCTTTACCGGAACGAGCTCTGACAGAAAGAGAAGCCGCAAAATTCCGGCGACACGTAAAGAACCCATTCCCTCCCCACGGCCCCACTCTAAACGACCCCAGTAACCGATAGGCGGCCATCTTGCTCCTGAACCGCCGGTCTACCTGGCTTCCGCTTCCGGGCCAAGCGGAAGGTGGCTCATGTGTCAGCTGTGAAATGATGCTAGTTACTGTTTTCTAATCAAACATTACTCTATTGTACGAAAAGACCTCAATATCCAGTAAATGTTAGCATTGAGATCTTAAAGCAAGTGCCTAGACTGTAAACCTATTTAAATGTTTGAACCTGTATTTGTAGTAATGGCAGACAGCAAAATGCATAAAGCAAAATGACAGTGAGGGAGGCTTAACATATCCAGGAATTTACTTTGGGCTGATGTTTCGTCTTTTTCCTAACTTCAAAACCAATACGTTACAGGCTCAAACCAGAAAATAAATGTCCATCTGGTAGTATCTGTGGAGAGAGAGATACAGTCAGTGTTTCAGTTCAAAAGCTTTTGAAAAATCATAAACATTAACTCTTTCTCTGTCAGATGCTCCCAGATTTGCCGAGTCCGTAGCCTTTTTAAAACTTTGTTTAAGATTTCGAGCATTTGCAGTAATTTAGTCTGGCAAACTTAGAATGGCCCGAGAGACACCAGCCCGAATGAGTTACAAAAAACAGAAGTTGTTGGAAAAACTCAGCAGATCTGGCAGCATCTGTGAAGAAAAGATCAGAGTTATCGTTTTGGGTCCAGTGACCCTTCCTGAGAACTAATGGTAGCTGGGAAAGTGGTTTATATGCAGAAAATAGGGAGGGGGATGGCGTGAGGAGTAAACGATAGGATAGAGCCCGAAGAGAGAGAAGAGCAGTTGGATGGACAAAAAAGTTGATCTGGCTAGGAGGGTGAATAGTTGTTAATAGGGACTGTTAGTAACTAACAATAGGTAGTGTGTAATGGCAAGCTATGTGATAACAAGGCCCGATGTGTGGGGTAGGGGGCTAGGAAACGGAAGAGTTTAGGCCCTAAAATTATTGAACTCAATATTGAGTCCAGAGGGCTACAGAGTCCCCAAGCAGAAAGTGAGGTGTTGTTCTTCCAACTTGCGTTGAGCTTTGCTGGAACACTGCAGCAAGCCAGAGACAGAGATGTTGGCCAGTGAGCAGGGTGGTGAGTTGAAGTGTCAGGCAACAGGCAGCTCAGGGCCTTTTTTGCAAGTAGAATGTAGATGTTCTGTGAAATGGTCACCCAGTCTACGCTTCGTTTCCCCAATTTAGAGGAGACCACATTGTGAGCAGCAAATGCACTACACTAGCTTCTGGGAAGTGCAGGTGAAATGTTGCTTTACCTGGAAGATATGTTTGGGCCCTTGGATAGTGGGGAAGGAGGAGGTAAATGGGCACATGTTGCACCTTCACCGGTTACAGGGGAAGGTGCCGTAGGGCCGTGGGGAAGTGTTGGGGCTGAAGAAAGAGTGGACCAGGATATCCCAGAGGGAATGGTCCCTGCGGAATGCAGACAATGGAGGGGAGGAGAATATGTATCTGTGGTGGCATCTCGCTGGAGATGGCGGAAATGGCATCTGATGATCTTCTGAATATGGATGCTGGTGGGATGGTAGGTGAGGACAAGGGGAACACTATCGCTGTTGCAGAAGCGAAGAGAAGGGGTGAGGGTGCAAGTGCGGGAGATGGGTTGGACCTGGTTGAGGGCCCTGTCAACAACGGTGCTGGGGAATCCTCGGTCGAGGAAGAAGGTGGACGTTTTGGAGGCTCCCTTGTCGAAGTTGGCCTCATCTGAACATATGCGACAGAGACGGAGGAACTGAGAGAATGGGATGGAGTCTTTACAGGAAGCAGGGTGTAAGTTATTTCGTCATGGTAAGTGGTGATGGTGGGGGGATGGGAGGGGTGGATTACAGTGTATGGTGAAGAATCCCACTGTATGTCACATTAAATCTCTGGAATGCTTGCACCAAAGACCTGAGGTCCATAATGAATATTGATAGCAGGACAAAATCACAACCAAAATTGTGCTGAACTCAACAAGAAGCATGGAGACCACCTTTCAGAAAATACAAATTTTTTTACTTCACTCATGGGCTGTGAGAATTGTTGGCTGACACAGCAGTTATTGCCCATCCTTAGTTGCCTTTAGGACGATAGTCGTGAGCTGTCTTCTTGACTTGTTGAAGCCCATTTGGTGTAGGTACACTCAGAATACTGTCAGGGAGTGTGTTCCAGGATTTTGACCAGCAATGCTGAAGGAACAGCAATATATTTCCAAGTCAGGATGTGAGCATCTTCAAGGGAACTTGCAGGTGGTTGTGTTCCCATGTATGTGCTCCCCATGTCCTTCTAGGTGGAAGTCGTCATGGGTTTGGAAGGTGCTGTCCAAGGAGCCTCGGTGAGCTTCTGCAGTGCATCTTGTATGCTGCTGCTATGGAGTGTTGATGTTGGAGGGAATATTTGTGGTTGAGGTGCCAATCAAATGATTGTTGCCTTGTCCTGGATTCTGTTGAGCTTTTTGAGTGTTGTAGCTGCATATCTCCAGGCAGGAGGGGAGTGTTCCATCACACTCCTGACTTAGAGTCATAGAGATATACAGCATAGAAACAGACCCTTTGGTCCAACTCATCCATGCTGACCAGATATCCTATATAAATGTGATCCCATTTGCCAGCATTTGGTCCATATCCCTCTAAACCCTTCCTATTCATGTACCCGTGCAGATGCCTTTTAAATGTTGTAATTGTACCAGCCTCCACCACTTCCTCTGGCAGCTCATTCCATACATGCACCACCCTATGCATGAAAAAGTTGCTTCTTAGGTTCCTTTTATATCTTTCCCCTCTCACCTTAAACCCCACCCTAGGAAAAAGACCTTGCCTATTGAGCCTAACCATGCCCCTCATGATTTTATAAACCTCTAAGATGTCACCCGTCAGCCTCCGACGCTTCAGGGAAAATAGCCCCAGTTTATTCAGCCTCTCCTTATAACTCAATCCCTCCAACCCTGGCAACATCCTCGTAAATCTTTTCTGACCCCTTTCTAGTTTCACAACATATTTCCTATAGGAGGGAGGCCAGAATTGAACGTAGTACTCCAAAAGTGGCCTAACCAATGTCCTCTGCAGCTACAACATGATCTCCCAACTCCTCTACTCAATGCACTGACCGATTAAAGCATACTTGTGCCTTGTAGATGATGAACTGGCTTTGGCTGTCTACAGGTGAGTTACTCACTGCAAGATTCCTAACCTCTCACATGCTGTTGTGGCACATTCTTACATGACTAGTCCAGTTCAGTTTCTGGTCAGTGGTAACCCCCAGGAATATTGACAGAAGGGAATTCAGTGATAGTGATGCAATTGAATCTCAGGGGCGATGGTTAAATTCTCTCATGTTGAATATAGTTACTTTTCTGCCATTTTTATGATGCACATGTTATTTGCCATTTATCAGTCCAAATCTGGATATTATCCAGGTCTTGCTGCATTTGGTCATGAACTGTTTCGGTATCTGAGGAGTTATGAATGGTGCTGAACAATGTGCAATCATCAGTGAACATCCCACTTCTGATGTTATGAGGGAGGGAAGGTCAATAATGAAGCAGATGAAGATGGATAGTACCCTGAGGAACTCCTGCAAAGGTGTCCTGGAGCTGAAATGACTGATCTCCAATCATCACAACGTTTTTCCTATGTGCTAGGTATAACTCCAATCAGTTGACAGTTTCCCCCTGGATTCTCACTGTTTCCAGTTTTGCTGGAGCTCCTCGATGCCACACTCGGTGATAGGCCCTTAGTCTTTGTGTAGCCAGAAACTCCAACTATTTCTTCATATCACATGGAGTGAGTTGAATTGGCTGAAGGCTGGCATCTGTGATGCTGGGGGCGTCTGAACCAGGCTGAGATAGATCATCCACTACTTAGGCTGTTTGGCAAAGAAATTGTCCCACTTTGTAGTTTCACCTGGTTGACACCTCATTTTTAGGTATGCCTGGAGCTGCTTCTGCATATTTCATTGAACTGGGTTGATCCCTTGTTTGATGGTAATGGTAAGGTGGGAGGATAAGCCAGGTCCGAAAGTTGGAGTATAATTTGACTGCAGCTGATGGCTCACAGGGCCTTACAAATAGCCTTTGAGTTATTATATCTATTTGAAGTCTGTCCCATTCAGCATAGTGATAATGCCACACAGCACAACATGAAGGCAGGATTTTGTCTCTACGAGGACTGCACGGTGTTCACTCTTACTGATATTGTCATTCACAGGCAGATTGGTGAGGATGAGATCAAGTATGTGTTTTCCTCTTGTTCTATAGTTGGGCTACTGGACGCAAAACGTTAACTTTCCTTTCCCTCTCCAGATGCTGCCAGACCTGTTGAGTTTCTCCAGAAATTTTTGTTTGTGTTTCAGACCTTGTTTTTCACTGTTCTTTGTTTCATTTTAGGGTTTCTTTGCCAATCTTTGACCTGCTTCCATAATTTAGATGACATGCCTCCCACATAATTTAGATGACATGTCCCCAGGTAGGTCTTCAATGGAGAACAGTATCAAGGCAAATGACATCAAGGTGGCAAGTACAAATGAAACAAAAGACAAGCAGCTTCTGTAATGCAGTAGACCACCTATCCTGGGAAACCAGTGAACAATCGTGGTCCATACAAAGGCTAGCACTGTAATTTATTTTAGTTTGCTTTATAGGCCAAATTCATAACATTTGATGTACCCAGCTACAGCTGCTTAAGTTAACAGCATAAACTGCCAGTTATGTGGGCAGCTATGCCAACCCTGCATCAGACTTTCAAAAAATGCAGATGCTGTAAAATTTGAACACTTGTTACCCAGGGTACAGAATTCAAAATACCCTGCCATAAGATAGGCATTTATTGGTCAATCTGTATAATTGAGCCACAGGATAGGACTGAATGTTCTGATGACATTTTGCTGTCCTGAAACATTAACTTTTTTTTCTCTCCACAGAGGCTGCGTGACCGGTTGAGTATTTCCAGCAGTTTCTTTTTTTTATGCAGTAGTCATTAATTCTCATTCATTGGTGCCAGGGGAAATCAAGTGAAGGATTGGTTTGTCTCATCTGAAAGATTGTTGTTCTGGCATTTTGACTCAGGGATAGTTTAGCTAACGCAATATGAACTAAAAAGGTCATGAGTGAGCTGGACAATTGGATTACTAAAATAGAAACAAAGATCCAGGGTTGCTGGAAATCTGAAACAAAAATAGAAAATGCTGAGAAACTTGGCAGGTCTGGCAGCATCTGTTGAGAGAAAAACAAAGTTAACGTTTCAAGTTCAGTGACCCCTTTGTCAAAATGGTCAGAGTTCAAAGATCCAAGAAAGCACTTAAACTATATACTGCTATGCAATTCATTTTTGGAAACTCAAAAACTTTCTTTATATTATTTTTATTATCAGTGGAAATTCAGGGAAGGAAAAGGAGCCACAGAAATGTATTATTCAGTATTTTGCATATGTAAATTGTGCTTTAAAAATTATCGTGTACTAAATCTTGAAGATTCTTAAATAATGACGCCTTGTGGTAAATTACTGGGAGTAGCACTATATGCTTACACAGAAGTGTATCTATGTATCAAAGTACAAAAGAAGCTGACAATAAATTATAGGCCATTCAGCAAATGCAAAGAGAAAATGCATTTGCTTTAAGGTGGCTGATCTTCTGTAGAACTTGCTTACTTTTCACTTCAATTTAGTCATAGTGTTTTTACAGCATAGATAAAGGCCATCTAACATCTGTCTATTCTAATCCCATTTGTCAACATGATCTGTAGCCTTGTACACTAAGGCAGCTCAAGAGATCGTCTCAATACTTAGTGTGTTTCCACCTCAACCACCCTTTTAGGCAGTGAGTTCCAGATACCCATCACCCTCTGGGAGAGAACACTTTTCCTCAAATCTCCTGTCCTGCTTCTTACCTGAAAAGGACTATGTCCCCCTGGTTATTGGCCCTTCTACTTGGGTGTTACCCTTTCTGATCTTTTCCCGAAGCCCCTCGCCAACAACTGCTTGTAGATATTTTTAATCAACCTGATCAGCGGTATTATTACACACTCTGGAAAGATGAGGCTTGAACCTGGGACACTACCACTTCACCAGCAGACCCTTTAACTACGAGCAATGTGGGGTAACCAGGAGGCTGCTGTGACAAGGAATCACGTGGCCAGGGAGAGCGGCTGGTCATTGGCTGCGCTCAGGGAGCCTCACCGTGATTGGCGGAAAGCGAGGAGAAGACTACAATTCCCAGCAGAACCGTGGGCGTCAGGCGCATGCGCGGCATCTCCACGGTGTCTATAAAAGCGCTTCCATCCGGGTGCTTCGGTTCCTTCCTGGCGACTTGTCGCCATTGCTGTGCGGAGTGGGAGCGGTGCTGGACAGCTAAGGCTCGGCCTTTATACAAACCCAAACCGCCTCAGGAGCGCGGGGTGGGGGTCAAGTCAAAGCGCTGGGCCCTCTCCACTCATCTCCAGCGGCTTGTTCCAAGCCAGCTTCGTCCCCCACCCCCTCCGCTCTCTCTCTTCCCCTCATCCTCCCTCCGCTCCATCTTCACTTTCGCCATCTTTAGATTTGGTCACAATGCAGAGGTCGCCATGATGAAGATTAAAGTTAGGCCCCGTTACGCGATGCCCTGTGGAAAACCGGTTGGCACAACCAGCCACGTCGTTCCCATTGAGCTGCTGGAAGCTGACGCTGGAAGATCCAGACATGGAAAAGAAGTCTGCACGTTCCGCCTCGGCAGGACCCAGCAAGGTGCCACCCTCGGACAGTAAAAGTAAACAAGGTAGGGTCGGTGCCGCCGCCCCCATCCATATCGTGCAGTGTTTACATGGCCACTAAAAGTACCCTGCGCGTTCCCCCTCGGTCTCTTTCTCTGCCCCCACCCCATATACAATCTGTCAGAATTGTTTCAGCTTTCATTAAACCTTGGCTGCCCCTCGCACCCCTCACCTGAGTAGCTGTCGATCTGGTAATCCTGTGCTGTACTGTAAAAGAGCTGTTTATTTGTCTCCCCCACTCCCGACACCTGTAAAAGGTTCCTGTTCGATGGGTGAGGTGGGCCACGGGTGAGATGCCCTGGTCAATACTTAATTCGCAGCTATTAGTATAAACTCAGTCTGACCCCATTGCTGCTTCCCGCTTCCTTGACCTGTGTGCCACCTGTAACTTCTGACTGAGATTTGTGGCATCTTCAGTAGTTTCTTTGTGTTTCGTGCCGAGTGTCCTTTGTGGCAGAATTACTAGCCTGATTCCGTATTCAGGTAGAGCTTTGGCATTGCTAATGATTAAGCAGCTAATATTTAGAGTTTGGTTACTCGAAATCTAATGGTTCCCCTTTTGATCAACTTAGTAACTTTTAAATGCAGGAAGG